GGAGATGTGGATCTTCTGGCAGCCCCAGGGAACTTGGACTTGTCCCTGCATAGGGCCTCAGTCACATGCTCCTTGTTCTGCACCTTGGTATGGATGGACATGATTTGGCCTATGTGGGCCCTGGCCACTGTGCCCTGAGGTTTTCCAAGGCCACCCCACATGCCTGTTGGGAGCCAAATTGGGGATAGCATGAGGTCAGACATGAATGTCCACCAGAAAGGGCTGTGTCCAAGGTCCTGTAAGGCAACCCGTATAAGCAACAGGCTGCATACACTACTGAGGAGGCTGCTGTTTGCCACCGTTGCCCATCAGACCCTCCATGGGGAGACAGCACGGTTGGCTTCATGGGCTGCAGTCCAGTACTTTTGTAGAAAGGTGAGATATCACACAGAAATAATGCATAAAACATAAATGTGCAGCTTAACAAATTATTGAAAGGTACCGATGTAACCACCACTCAGGTCAGTAAGCAGAACACTGCCAGGTCCCTGCGAGCTCTCTGTGTGATCCCCCCCTTCCCCCACCCAAAGGCAATCTTCTCTTTACTTTAATGGGAGGAACTTACCCCATTGGTTACTTGACAAACTTTGTCAACTGTTTGTGTTTCTAATCACTGTAGTTTAGGTGTGTATGTTTGTGAACTTTATAAAGAGGGGTTCATAATTTATATATTGTGATTTGCTTCTCAAAATTACTTTTAAGATTTATGCATTTGCATATTACTCTAGTAGTTTGTTTCATTGTACAAGTCAGTACTCCCCAATTTATCTCTTCTATTATTGAGGGCTTCTTGGGTTGTTCGCATTTTAGGGCTGTTGCAAGCAATGTTACTATTGTCCCTGCATCCTGGTACAGACTGGCCAGATTTCCTGTGGTATATATCTAGGACTGGAGTTGCTGGGTCAGAGGACAATGTACCTCTTTCTTATTAGATAATGCCAAAATGTTTTCCAGAGTGCTTTTACTGACTTACATTCTCACAAACACCGTAAGTGGGTTCTTCTCGCTCCCCATACTTACTAATGCCCAGTACAGTTAGGCACCATAATATTGACCTAACAGAAGAGTGTGCACTGGGAACTTGCTGTGGTTTAAAATTGCATTTCTCTGATTACTGATGAGATTGAGCACCTTTCTGTATGTTTATTGGACATTTAGATATTCTCATTTGTGAAGTGCCTCTTGAAGGTTTTTGCTCATTTATGTATTAGATTCTCTTTTTCTTATTGATTGGTAGATGTTATATATTTCAGATACAAATTCTTTGCTAATTATTTTCACTGCAAATATTTTCTCCCACATGCGGCATACTTTCCCCCTTAATGACCTCTTTTGATGAATGGAAATTCTTCATTTTAGTGTGGTCAGATTTACCAGTCTTTCCCTTTATAGTTGACCTGTTTAAGAAATTGTTCCCTACCAGGTGCCTGGGTGGCTCAGTTGTTAAGCGTCTTCCTTCGGCTCAGGTCATGATCCCAGGGTCCTGGGATTGAGCCCCCCAACGGGAAGCCTGCTTCTCCCTCTCCCTCTACTGTTCCCCCTGCTTGTGTTCCTGCTCTCGCTATCTCTCTCTCTGTCAAATAAATAAATAAAATCTTAAAAAAAAAAAAAAATTGTTCCCTACCATGAGGTCATAATGAAGGCATTTTCCTATATTTTCTCTTTAAAAAGCCCAGTCATTTTGCCATTCACATTTAGATCCTTTGTCCACTTTTAATTGATTTTTGTGTGTTGTGTGTTACTGGTCAATTTTGATTTCTTCTTTGAGGAGATCCAGTTATCGTGGTACTACATACTGACATGTCTGTCCTATCCTTGTTACAATGTCATAAGTTTGTCATAACTTAAATGTCCATATTTGTGTATATTGCTGAGTTCTCTATTCTTTATTGATTGTCTGCTTTCCTATCCTTGCATACATCTATACAGCCTTAGTTATGGACTTAATGGATAACATTTTACTGTATTTACTTCACCCCACCCCCCTTTTTTTTGCTGAATAATTTAAAAGTAAAGCACAGACATCTCAACATTTCACTGAACAGTACTTCATCATGTGTAAATTATAGGGACATTTTCTACATGATCAAAATAGCATTTTTCATACCAAAATAACAGTTTTGCCAGTTTTTTTTCCGTTTTCACAGTTTCTCGTATGGTATATAAGGTCAGATCTATGCATGCACAACTCAGGGATGAGCTCAGGATTTCATACACAACTTTATGGGAGCACTTTTCTTGAGCTCCGTCTGCTACCCTTTGTGGCTCTCAGGGCCTCTCTTTCAGGTCTTCTGGGTAGAAAGGCAGACCTTTAGTTTCCCCTCTGCTCTGTATTTCCTGCAACTGTGTCTGCCTCTGTAGCCAAGCAACAAGGAGACAGAGAGGAAAAGAAGAAAATGGGTATCATTCCTGTGCTGTAGGGAACATAGATTTTTCTTTTCTTTTTTAAGATTTTATTTATTTGAGAGAGCAGGCAGGAGCTGGGGGAGGGGCAGAGGGAGGGGAAAAGGGAGCCTGATGTGGGACTCGATCCCAGGATCCCGAGATCACAACCCGAACCAAAGGCAGACGCTTAACCAACTGAGCCACCCAGGTGTCCCAAGATGAGCAACTTTGAAGGGGAGGAGAAGATTATATCAATTTGTGACTTACTGACTTTTGGATCTTTGTGGGATGCTTGAGTATATCAATTCATTAGGCAATTGAGTATCATACTCTGGAGCTTAACAAAGAGATCACTCTGCTTCTCAAATTTTAGTCATTTGGAGAGGTTTTTCTTTTTTTCTTTTTTTTTTAGATTTATTTATTTTAGAGAGTGTGTGCACATAAATGGGGAGAGGGAGAGAAATCCTCAAGCAGATTCCCCACTGAGTGCAGAGCCTGATGCAGGGCTCAGTCCCAGGACCCAGAGATCATGACTGAGCTGAAACCAAGAGCTGGCTGCTTACTGACAAGCCACCCAGGTGCCCCTAAAGATTTTTTTATAAGTAATCTCTATACCCCAATGTGCAGCTCAAACTAACAATCCTGAGATCATGAGTGGCACGCTCCACCGACTGAGCCAGCCAGGCAATGCATACTGTTGAATTTATTCTTAAGCAACTTTCCCTAGTTTCTTATAGATTATATTGCTTTTCTATAGGAATGCTAATGAATTTGTGTATTTATATCTCTCAGTCTTTATTGTAGTAATAAAAATATCCTAAACCTTTCTAGATTGATCTTCCCTGCAAATACAGTAATGATTTTTTTAAATTGATAAACTTTTTAAAAGCAGTTTTTGGTTCACAGCAAAATTGAGTGGGAAGTACAAAGAGTTCCTATATACCCCAAGCCCCACCACAACCTCTCCCACTGTGGACATCCCACACCACAATCCCACATCATAATATATTTGTCACAATTGATGAACCTAGATTGACACATCATTACCCAAAGTCCATAGTTTACATTAGGTTTTGCTTTTTGTGTTCTATGTACATTCTGTGGGGTTTTGGCAAATATATAATGAATGACATGTACCCACCATTATCGTATCATACGGAATAGTTTTACTGTCCTAAAAATCCTTCATGTTCTGCCTGTTCATCCGCCTCTCCCCTCTTACCCCTGGCAACCACTGATCTTTTTATTGTCTCCCTTGTTTTGCCTTTTCCAGAATGTTATATAGTTGGAATCATACAGTAGTTAGCCTTTTCAGATTGGTTTCTTTCACTTAATATTGTGCATTTAAGGTTCCTTTATATCTTTCAGTGGGTCAACAGCTTTTTTTTTTTAAATAGAAACTTTTTTTTTTCTTAAGATTTTATTTATCGAGAGCACAAGCAGGGGGAGCAGCAGAGGGAGAGGGAGAAGCAGGCTCTGCACTGAGCAGGGAGCCCAATGCGGGACTCGATCCCAGGACCCTGGGATCATGACCTGAGTGGAAAGCAGATGCTTAACCGACTGAGCCACCCAGGCGCCCAGCAGCTGTTTCTTTTTAGTGCTAAATAATATTCTATTGTCTGGATGAACTACAGTTTACTTTTGCATTCTCCTACTGGAGGGTATCTTGGTTGCTTCCAAGTTTTGGCAATTATAAAGAAAGCTGCTATAAACATCCATATGCAGGCTTTTGTGTGAACGTAAGTTTTGAATTAATTTGGGTAAATACCAAAGAGTGCAATTGTTGAATTGTGTGGTAAGAAAATGTTTAGTTAGGAAACATCCAAACTGGGTGCCTGGGTGGCTGTTGGTTAAGCATCTGCCTTCTGCTCAGGTCATGATCCTAGGGTCCTGGGATTGAGTCCTGCATCGGGCTCCCTGCTCCGCTGGGACTCTGCTTCTCCTTGTGCCCCTCCCCCACTTGTTCTCTCTTACTCTCTCTCAAGTAAATAAGTAAATAAAATCTTTAAAAGAAACCGCCAAACTATTTTCCAAAGTGGTTCTACCATTCTAAATTCCCACCAGCAATGAATGATAATAGTTCCTATTTCTCTGCATCCTTGCCAGCATTTGATGTTGTTAGTGGATTGAATTTTGGCCATTCTAATAAGCGTGTAGTGGTATTTCATTTTAATTTAGAATTCTCTCATGACTTGTGATGTTGAATATCGTTCCATATTCTTGCCATCTGTATATCTTCTTTGGTGACGTTTCTGTTTGGGTCTTTTGCCCATTTTTAAATTGTATTGTTCATTTTCTTAGTGTTGAGTTTTAGGAGTTCATTGTATATTTTGGATATCAGGTCTTAACAGATATGTCTTTTGCACATATTTTCTCCCAGTTTATGGCCTGTCTTCTCATTCTCTTGATGTTGGCTTTTGCAGAGCAGAGGTTTTTTTATTTTAACAAGTCCAGTTTATCAATTACTTTCCTGGATCATGACTTTGGTTGTTGTATCTAAAAAGTCATTGCCATACCTAAGGTCATCTAGGTTCCCCCTAAGTTATCTTCTAGGAATTTTATAGTTTTCTGTTTTATGTTTAGGTCTATGATCCATTTTGAGTTAATTTTAGTCAAGAGTGTAAGGTCTGTGTCTAAATTCATTTTTACGCATATGGATGCATAGTTGTTCTAGGACCATTTGTTGAAAAGATGTCTTTGCTCCTTTGTCAAAGATCAGTTGAGTATAATTATGCAACTCTATTTCTGAGCTCTCTACTCTGTGCCATTGATCTACTTGTCTCGTCTTTCACCAGTACTGCACTGTCTTCATTACTATAAGTTTATAGTGAGTCTTGAAGTCAGGTAGTGTCAGTCTTCTGGCTTTGTTCTTTTCCTTCAATATCCTGGTATTCTAGGTCTTTTGCTTCTTTTTTTTTTTTTTAAAGATTTTATTTATTTATTCATGAGAGAGAGAGAGAGAGAGAGAAG